ACAATATTACTGACTATATTCCCAGTGCTGTACTTTACACCCCCCGTGACTATTCCGTAACTACCAATTTGTACTTCTTAACCCCTTCACCTTTTTCACCCTGCCCCTCAACCCCCTTCCCTCTGGAAAACATCAAAATATTCTCTGTATCTGAGTTTGTTTCTGTCTTGGTTGTTCATTTATTTTATTTTTTAGATTCCACATATAAGTGAGATCATATGGTATTTGTCTTTCTCTCTCTGACTTATTTCACTTAGCATAATAGCCACTAGGTCCATTTATGTTGTTGCAAATGGCAAGATATCACTGTTTTTTATGGCCAAGTAATATCCCGTTGTATGTATGTACCTCCTCTTCTTTGTCCAGTTGTCTATTGGACACTTAGGTTGCATCCATATCTTGGCTATTGTAAATAATGCTGCAATGAACATGAGTAAAATCTAGTTTTAAAAACCTAGTAAGGGTATCTTGGAAGGCAAAAAATGGAGAAAATGTCAAAACCAAGCAACTAGAGAAGCAAGTGGGGAATTAAGGACGCTCTAACAAGCAGGGGGCTTCATGTGCAGGCCCATCTGTGAGGGTCCCCACTTCTACCTCTGGCAGCCTCAAGCCTGGTACCTGCAGAAGCTTGAGAAATCCAGGGTAACAGCAGCAATTTGTCCGTCCCATCATGGCATTCTCTAGGTGTCAAATTCTAGCTCTGATCAGAGGAAGCAGGCTCCAATGCTTCCAGGAGCCCGGCAGGTAACCGCTAATGAACCAAACAGGCAGGACAGAGAAAGTAAGAGAAGTGCAGAGTGCGTTGCCTCCAACAGATTGCCGCCCTGAACAGGGCCAGTGTTGCTAGATTTTCTGATGTTTAAGGAAATTCTAGGAACCCCACTTCCAGTGAGAACTGGAACACCAGCTTGGGCCTCTCGGTTCAGGCTCATTATTGAAAACAGGCAAAGAGAAGCAAGGACTTGACCCCGGCAAGCCCGTCCTTAAGCTCCAGGAAGTTTACCTTACAAATTGGCAAAGTGGAAAAAAAATAATAGAACCAAAAAACAAAAAAACAAACAAAAAAAACCTCCAAAAGGCAAGGAATAAGAATTTCACACTGCCCTGTGCAAGACTCTCAATAGCCTGGGTCTAAGCATTGGACAGGCCAATCACTACTTCTGAGATAATCAAGACGTGAACCCACAATAACACTGAACTGCCGCCCCCTTAGTCTCCCAGGACCCAGGGAACCCGGAAATGTGAAAAATACATCGAGCATTGAACTAAATTCATTTTTAATAATTTTATTACAATTTTGAAACCAAGCTTATCTTGTGAATTTGAAAAAAATTTATATTGATTTTCCCTGGCTTGGTTTTCTCCAAAATCTAAGCTTGGCAGCAGAGAAGGCTATATGTCTGAATGCATTAGATGGAGACAGACATTTGTGTCATTTTAAACAAGATCAAGAAGAAAGCGTATAAGGAGTCTCACAAAGGATATCAAAGCTGTATCTGTACATCAGTGATGGTGGGATTCAGGTGAGGGGGTTCAAATACTCCAACCATCCCCTAATTGTCAGTGATGGCTGGGCCTTATGGGGGGCAGGGAGGGTTGCTATAAGATGGAAGGCAAGAAAACCATTTCCTCAGCTGGTGTTAACATTGTGTAAGGCTTTCATAAGTATCATCCAACCAGAAAACCGCCCCCTTTGTGACCTAACTGGGTCTCTTTTGTACATTCCCTGAAAAACATGCTGCCTTTAGGGGCTTCTTTTTCTCTTTGGGGGTTCCCCTTGGTTTCCTGGCAACCAGATAGCTCCTGAGCATCGGTGGCAGGGCTGTGGGCTGTGGTCCATGGAGTGAGCCCACCAGATCTGTGTGGGCACTAGAATCCCACAAAGATGCCCTGGGTGAAAGCTTACACATTTTTCTGGATGACTACATTTTCTTCATGGCTAGGGTTTTTGAAAACGCAACAAGGCTGAGCTAACTCTTCTCATCAATATCTGAAAATGGATCATTTCCTCTCTGACAGCTTGAGCAATTCACTGTGGCCACAGTACCAGAACCCTGGCCTGGATCTACACGTTCATCCACATGTTCTAGGAAATCCAGAGCAATAGCAGATAAGGAGGAAAGACTGAGGTGGTGACAAGGGTGGCGGTCCTGGCAGAACATGCAGCCGAAAGCCCCAGAACCACGAAATGCTTCAGGAGAGAGGAAGCGCTCAGAAATGCCAGCATTCTCTGAAAGAGCTAACCAGGCACAAATGGAGCCTGCCTTTGTAAGAAATAGGAAAAAAAGATTGCTTAAAATGATAAATATTTGTTTTACTTTCCATTCTGGGCAACTTATTTTAATTTATTATGGCATCAAGTCATTACAATATGACGGTCAAAAATTACACTGTGCTTGCATCCATAACATGGTTAATAAAGTGACAAATAGACTTTTTCTCATGTGACAACTTTAATCAATTGGCAGTGGCTTTATGGTTTGAGAAGCTCTGAGACTGAGTTGAGTTCAGTGAGTGAGAGTGCTGCAGTGGATTAGTAATGCCTGCCTAGGTGGGAGATTTGGTACTAAACAAATGATATTTTTCAAACTTGGAATATTTTTCAGGATTCGGTCTTTCCTGAATCTTAGAGGTGCCTCACAGTGTGAAGGAAGAGCTAAGTGGGAGAACAGCTCCCTTTTTATCTATTTAATCTATTAGAACTTTGCAAAATAATTTCTCTGCTAAAACCCAAAGTTTTAAAACCACTGACATATGGGCAAAAAAGACTGGAGTTTTGGTTCTAACTTCATTTCAAACTTGATACGTAGGTTTGAGTCAGATATTTTAACTTACATGATATTTGTCACCAGATGTCACATAGGACATTTGAGAAATGTCACATTTGTGTCATAATAATGATCATTTGCCTAATATTCCATCATTGGCAGTGGCTCCCCAGAATGTTTTATGAAACAGTTATGTATTTTCTTCAAGTTAGCGTTTTGTAAAGTTTAGATATGTACCCTGAAATTACTGTTTTTCCTCAAAAGCTCACTCATTAAGCTTATTCTAAACAAAGGATTACAAATAAGCTTCATCTTATTCAATCAGTTATTAGTGGCTTTCCTGATGATTTTGAGAGCCAATCTAGGTTCTGTGAGAAAGTGATGTAATTGATTAGTGATGTCTGCTATGAGAGTGGATTGGAAGTGGTAGCACAGAGGCCATTTATATCTCAACTCTATTTTTAAACCTTTATCATAGACTCATGTTTTTTACCCTGTATAACTGTTGTGGTGACAGGGTTCCATTTGTTTTGTAGGGCAGACATTTACTGTATCTGTACTCCCACCACCTCTTTAAATTGTAGCTGTGTATTCTGGATTTAGATAAGAGCCCAGTAATATAACCCTAGTAGTGTACCTCAGTAATATACCTCTGGTCTTTACCTTTCTAGATCAGCATTCCTTTTCCGTTTAGCAGGGACACTGAGCCTTTGAAATAACAGTGACATCAATAGGTATTCCTATGTCCACTAAAAAAATCTGGCATCCAGAGAGAAGTGTACAGATACTTTGAGATCTAGTCACAGACCCTTTCCCAACAAGAACTTTGGCTCCAGACTGAAGGGGGCCTTTATTATTTTCAGCCTTCTTTTGTACGTTTCAATCATTCAGGTTTGTTTTTCCAAAATTTCTCCCAACCTGTATTCTTTTTCTTATGGTGAAAAACTTATATTTTCCTAGAAGTGCAGGATGAAAACTCATCCCGGTTTTATGCCTGTCACACGTTTGCGCCTAGGAGAGCCACAAATGAAAAGACTAGTGAACCTTCTGAGGAACGTGCCCATGTTCTGGACACTTCTTTCTGCAGATGTGTGTGCAATGTTATGTCACGACATGGGTTCTGGATACCGCAATGGCCCCTGAATGGGCCTCTGTGACATTCAATATTTAGCTCTTCTATTCTGGCCTCAGTACCACTCACCAGGCAAATGGACTTTTAGCATTATCTGTCTCACATTTACTTGTTTGCTCAAAAACCTTTTATGGTTTTCCATGTCCTCACACATACATATAAACTCTTCTTTCTGGCTTTCAAATAAGCTATGAGACATTCTGCTGGCATGATGGCATTTTGAAAAGAAACAACAGCATCCAACAAAAATAAACTGTGGCGTCCCACGGGCCATGGGAAATTTATTTAATCTCCCTGAGCTTCAGTTTGCCTCTCTATTAAGTGGGGATTGACAATACCCATTTCATGGATTTGTTGTGAGAATTAAAAGAGATTGTGCATGCAACAGGCTTTAGCACATTGCCTCCCACAAAACTGATGCACAATAAATAGTAACCATTATTGCTATAATCAATAATAAAGGTAACGATAATGGATTGGCTACTTTTGAATGTGTGGTCATGGGCTCATTACTCAACTTCCGTTGAGTCTCATTTTTTCGTGTCTGAAAAATAAGAATAGGTCCTAAATTATAAGGTTGTCATAAGGATTAGATGATACACATGAATGGAAGATGTTAAATAAACGCTGATCCTTCATGTATTCTTCTCGCCTGTCCCCTTGCTTCTCATCCTATGTACCATGAGAGAGAATTCCAAAATGCCCTCTGATAATGATGGGACCAGCCCTGTCACTGTGTTTGGCACTGGCTAGAAACACTCTTCTTTCATGGTAACACCTCTTTTCCAACCATTCAATTCTCCTCATTCTTAAACAACCAAGACAAGTGCTGCTCTCTCCATGAAACCTTTGCTGACTGCCTCATTGGCCACTGGCTTCCCTTTTCACTGAGCAAATACCCCACTTCTTCAAGTGCGTGTCTCATACTTTAGCCATTAATTGCATTCTGTCTTGTTCCCTACCAAGACGCCTTGTATCACAGGCCAACACAATCCTCAGCTGTGGCAGGTAATCCCATGTGGGCTCATTTAAAGGGGGGGAAATCTTCCATGAGAGAAAAGGGCATTAATTTCCTCCCCTGCCCCCTTTTTTTGTTGCAGTTTTTGTGCATGAGCAAGGAACGGTTCAAATGACTGTGCAGGACTACAAGAGGTAGGTGGCAGAATCAGTGTCAGTTCGCTTTGATATTTCACAGCCACATCTTCCACAAACGAAATGGAAGTGAGCAGCTGTCCTAATGAGGATGTGGATCTTGGGATCTTGTCACTGGTTAGGCCTCCATGCCCACAACGTTTTCACTAGCCCTGAGAGAAATAAGAGTTTCTTTAAATATCATAAAGGAGTTAGCAAATTAAATCAACAAATGCTGACTCGGGATGGGAGGGTGGGATTTAATTAAACCTATGCATACATGGCATTCTACCATAATTCAACTGTTTGTAAGGACCTGTTCATAAGACAGTTACATCCATATTTTAACCATCGTGCCATTTGTTGGAAAATAATACATGTAATTTTCAATGTCAGGTAGAGCGTAGCAATTGTCTCTTACTTTGAGGACAGACTAGGTCTCAGAATGGCCCCACAGAGCAGCATTCACGACACCTGAGAACTTAATAGAACTGCCGATTTCCGAGCCCCACCCCAGACACCAGGAATCAGCCAATTCTGGAGGTTGGGTTCAAAAGTCAGTGATTCTGCACGGCCTTGGGATGGTGCCGAGGCATACTCTAGTTTGAGAACCGCTGAAGTAGACCGTGAGCTTTTTGAGGCTGGGAATCCTGCTTCTCATGCTTCAGGGTAATTCCGGCTAATTGAAAACCAAATATTCATTCAATACTGTACCTGTCCGACTCCTACCAACTCACCCTGGAAGTGCTGCTTTGTCATAGCTTTTCCTCCTTAACCGAGTAGTTGGTTTTTGCTGCTCACAGAATCACAGAGCCATAAGGGACCACAGAAATCTCTCAGGCAACGATCTCATTTTGTTGAAGAGGAAAATGAGAGCCAAGGTCTGTGACCCTCTAGGGCTCCTGTAGCTTGGTTAGAACCACGATGACCTATGGTTTCTCCTAGATCCTACGCTAGCGCAATTTTGGATAGCTCTGCTTACATTACAAAACAAGGTGTCACCCTCAAATGCTGAGTGAAGCAGAAATGATGGCAGGCCTACTACAAACTGAAAGGAAGCAATAAATGAAATGCTATCTTCTGCCTGTGTTCAAGGCTCCCAGAGCCAAGTGTCATTTATTTATTTACTTACTTGTTTTTCAATTACAGTTGATAGTCAATATCATATTAGTTTTAAGTGTACAGCATAGTGGTTTGACATTTATATGACTTAGAATGTGACCCCCACCCCCAGTAAGTCTAGTACCCATCTGACACTATATGTAGTTATTACAATATTGTTGACTATATTCCCTAATCTGTACTTTACATCCCTGTGACTGTTTTGTAACTACCAATTTGTACTTCTTAACCCACCCCCTTTTCACCCAACCCCCCAACCCCCCTCCCATCTGGCAACCATCAGTTTGTTCTCCATCTAATTTAAAACAGAGGGTTTATTATTCAGAAACACGCACTTTCTTGGCCTTGATACAGAGAGCAATTGAATAAAGAGGCAGGGCCCAGCTATTCTTACTAATGGTGGACAGAGCTAAGGCCAATTCAGCTGCCCACGTAGAATAACTTGGTCTTGTTGGGAAAACTGATATCGACACTGTATTCTTTGATAAATGCCAGCTTTGTGCCAACTGGCTGTTATACTTGATGAGGCCAGATGCAGCTATGTTATAGCTGAACTGTATAAAAATGAACTATATTATAACAGGGTCCCATTCTGTTTGGAAAAGCTTTCAAATGACTTGCAAAGCAGGCGTAGAGTGACACTGCTCTTTGCAGCCGTCAAGGAGTTTCTTGCTGTTGGGTCTGGTTAGTCACACAACCTGGTGACAGCACTTAGAGGCTGTTAACCATATGATCTGAAACCTTTCACCATGATGAGAATTAATGCAGCCACTTCAGGGGCTGCCCCTGTCCCTCTTTCATCCCATAATTTGAACTTCTTTCTGAAAGTCAGTGCCTAGCACAAAGATGTGTTCCTGCAAGGTTCCCCAATGATTTGCCATCTGTCAAAAGCGAGACATTCTGTCACCTTCATAATGAGCACTAGCAGGCACCTAACACTTAAATTCTCACACCTTCTGTGACACACACTCCTGAAAAGAGGATCAGCGCCTCTGCTGTATGCTCTCCCTTCTTCAAAGGTGTGGCCGTTATGGGATGGTTAGGAATGAAGAGGAAATGCAAATGTTTACTCTGGAAAGGCAGGATGCACAATGACCTCCCAGGGGACCATCTAAATTGACACATCTCGTCCTTGGTATCCCCCCACTTCCCCCACTGCAGGTCTCTGCACCAGGTTTCAGAAACTCATATCCTATCCAGAGGGACCAGTTTCAACTCTTGCCATTCTGCTGGAAGTGTGCCACAAAGGTATGTGACTTCCAGGCACTTCGCACCCAGGAAAATCATTCCATGCAACAGTGGAGTTCATGAAATCATAAGCAGGCACTTGAGAAATCTGTGTTGAATGGATGGATGAGAGAAAGAATACAAGATATCTAAACTCCAACTTGCAAGAATAGTGTAAAAGAGTCAGTGAAATTGGAAACAGGCTAAATATCTGTCAGTGGGGAAATGGCCAAATAAATTATTGGCTCCTCACTTTACGGAATTATATACAGTGACGGAAGGAATAGAAACACACACACACACACACACACACACACACACACACACACACACTCACTTTTGATCTTCTAGTCATATTTTTAGGGAACGAAACAAGATGCTGAAAGATACATAAAATATGTTATTATTTACAAAGCAAACGTGAAACCTATAGAGCATGTATGTAACTACCTAGAAAAATGTCTGTAAGGATACATATAAATTTAGCAGGAAGGGAGTTAGAATTGGTGGGGGTAATGGCCAAGGGGAGAGAGAGCCTATATAATATAATTTTTTAACAAGGTGAGTGTATTTTATGTTACGATGACTAGAAAAAATGGCTTTTGGTTAAGTGAACTGTTAATGGGTACAATATTCACATTTCCTTGCAAAATTAAATATAACTGAAAAATAGTTACTGGTACTGAAAATATGTTTAATGATGAATCAGTCAATCATCACATCCTTGGCCGTGAGACTGTGAGCCTGCGGAAGGCAGGAGCACATCTTCGTTCCGTTTTGTGCCTTGGGTGCTAGCATGACGCATGTTCAATAAATATTGTATAAATGGGTAGGATGCAAATTTGTACAACGAGGTCAATAAGACAACAGATTAAATCTTTCATGATTTGAACTGCTTTTATATTAAAGTATCAAGTGATTGGCACCCCAGCTCTCTAGTTCTTTTCAGTGATAAAGACTTCCAAGCCCAGCCAGTTAGGCCTCTAATAAAGACTCATGGCTGATCTTTTCTTCCTCCAACAAATCAGCAACACACCAGATCCCTATGTCACATTAGAAAGTGACAAAGGGATGGTGGGTGGTGTCTGGTCAGTGGACCTGCCCAGTGAGACTATAGGTGGCTGTTGTTTAATGTATGAATGGCTAAATAAATGAATTGCAATTAATCCAATTTAAATGGTGGCGTTATAAAAGTGAAATTATCCAAACTATCTCAGATAAGCTCCTTATTGCCGCATGTGAAGTAAGGGCCAACAAAAGAACCGAGCAAACCTAGAAAAACCTCATCAAATGTTCTGATTCCCGTTGAGTCCATGAGTTCTACAAGGTCAAAATAGCACAGTCCCCGAGGAGAAGTCCAGTAGTTGGGAAGTGAGCTGATATACATAAATGTAATTTATCATTTTAAGTGCCAGAGCTGAATAACTGAAGGTTATCGTTTTAAGTGCCAAAGCTAAGTAAAACATTTTGATGAAAGCACTTCTTATTTCTGAGCCAAGTTCATAAATATACAGAACACACTTTAACCCTACCTAAGGACTTACAAATCATTGTTTGTAAACATCAGTCCTTGTAGTCTGCATATCCTCAACAAGTTTGTGTAGCTGAGGTTCCCTGGACTGATACTCTTTAAAAATATTCTTCTTTGAGTCTACTGTTGTTTGTTTTTTTGTTTTTCTGTTTTATATTGCTGTCAACTACCCTTTCATTGTGGTTTTCAGTATACTGCCCCTGGCTTCTGTCCACAGTCTCCTTGCCCTATTTAATTTAACATTTGCTTGTTGTGCAACGGCAAGCCAGGGAAGTCAAGTCATTGGTATTGCGTGTGAGGTACCGGCAAGCAGTCACTGAGTGGGGGTGATGGACTGTCCTTCAGGTAAGTGTATCTGAGCTCTAGGAAACATGACATCTGTTTGTCTATTCAGATTCCTCTTTCACTCAATTTCTGGAACATTGGGTGGTTGAGGTGACTACGAAAAAATTGGCCATTGGTTAAGTGAACTGTTACTGGATAAAGATGTTCACATCTTTTTTTACCGCAGCATTCCTGAATGGCTAGAATTTTGGGAAGAAGATCCAGTGGAGTTTCTCTTGGATCTGGGGTTTGGTGCTAATGAGCCAGATACCTGCACGCAAATCCCAGCCAGATTCCTGGGCTGTGACTCAGCAGCCAGAGGAATCAATACCCATGTTTTCCTTGAAGCTCAAAAGCAGCGAATGGACATTGAGAACCCTAACTTGTGTGGTAAGTGAGGACCACGTGACATACAAATTTTAGCAACGGCGATTGTTCCGCTCGCTGCCCCATGCAATAAAAGCCATTACTATGCACTGGCTTTTGAGTAAAGAAAAAGCTTATCGAGAGGTCAACTGGCAAGGGGACAAAAGGCAGAGTGCAAATCTGTCTCCCCATCCAGGGTTTGAAGCAAGATATAAGGGCTTGAGGGGAACAGGCTGGTATGTGAAAGCATTGGCAGGGGCACTTCAATTGGGGCTTTGGAACTTGGCCATTTATGGTGAGAAATGGTAAGAGGCTTCACACCCAACCTTCCTGGACAACGGGCTCCAGCATTCAGGTTCCAGTGTCACCTGGGCTTTGGTTCCGTGGGGTGGAGAGACTGTGGTTCCAGGTGTTATTGGAGGTCATAGTTCTCTCCTCAGCACATGCTTTGGTCACATGACTTATTATTTTGTTCTGTTGTCTCTGAAAAACAACTCAGTGTCTTGTTAGAAACAGCATAAGGCCAGTTTGAGCTGGTTCTGCAGTGACACATTGAGTGGGGAGATGAGCCCCAGTGTTAGGAGGGATGGTCTAAGGTGTGTGGAGTAGAATCAACCCCTGTGTCACAGTGGCTTAAAATGGAAGAGTTGATATCTTGATCACTCTACATGTCCACTGCCAGTTGGTACATCTGTTTGGGGGAAGGGATATCTGCCCCATGCTGTCCTCATTCATGAACTTGGCCCCATCACCTGGGACATCACTGGTTGCAATGACAGAGAAGAGGTGGAAATGGAGAACCATGCTTGACTCTTACCTCCTTCTGCTCAGAATTTTCACATGTCAGGTACGCTCAGGTTTCATTGTCCAAAATAAGTCACATGATCACACTTAACTCCAAAGCAGAGAGAATAAGCTATCCCACCATAGTCCCAGAAGGAAGAAAGCTGTCAATACTGGTGAACAACACTAGTCTGTACCAGAGCCACACACCCAAGAGGCAGAAAACCCCGGATCTGACAAGGCTTATCGTGAGTGATAGGGGAAATCTGAATTTCCTCATCTATAGGGCTTAGAATACTACTTATTCCACCATGAGGTATAAGTGGTAGTTATGAATCGGCCATATCTCCAGATCTGTAGATGACCTATGTGTAAACCCCTTAGTTATCATGCCTGGTGCTGTCTTTCCCCAGCTGTTGGTCAGTGGAACACTTTTCTCTAGGACATTACTAAGGATGTTCATGGGATATATGTACTGGGCTCAAATAATTTGGGGCAAAGATGCCTTGCAGTTAAACAGGTTTGTTTACTGCAGGATTTGTTTAACATGTTGAGATGCACACTCAGGCTCCTATAGGGGATGTTATACAGCGTTTTCAAAGCCATCGAAATACAGAACCCCTGTTGGAGGAGCAATGAAAAACATCTCCTCCGTGGGATGGAATTTGCAGAACTCTGGACCGAAGAAAATGCCACAATTCTGTTTCTGACATAAGTTTGTTTAAATAAATGCACTGAAAGAAAGTGAGATAAAATGTTTCTCTCAAACAAATCTCTTAGATTTTTCATCTTAGTTCATTTCCCCTGTCTTCATGTGGGTGAAATGGGTCTTAAAAATCTCAGTGATGAGATTTTCAAATAAGGGCATGGAAACCTGAAGGTGTTGCAATGTGATGTTTCTTTATCTTTTAGAAGGAATTAATATCATATCTGCTGTCATCTTCTTCTCCAAGCCACATGGAGATGGCAAGTTCTTTAATTGATTCTTTATTTGGAGAAAATAATAACACCAGTATCTCAGGAGTGTTTGAGCTGATCTGTGAGGTCAACATTTTACAAATGAAATTGACACATGGTTCATAGAGGAACCAGGAGTTGGCCCCTAACCCTCTGATTGTGGGTCTACTCTTACTTCTAACACATAACACGGAACACTGTGCTAATAGTGCATGGCAACTATTCTTACTCAACACTTGCCAGTATACTTTTGATTCAGGAAAGCTGAGAAGATTAAATGTAAAACGAGGAACAAGGAATAATAAAATTAGTTGGTTGTTCTACAGACAGAAAGGAAAAGGCTATCTCATTCAAAATCAATACAAGAGGTTCAAATTTCAGGGGATGAGAATCATTGTTCCATGTACCCAAAGGCAAAACAAACTAAAACCCACTCATCCAACACTTCACACTATGTGTTCTCTGAATTGACTGCAGCAATTAAATTGGTAGGTTTTCGTCTCAGTCTAAGTATAAAAGTCTGCTATAGGATGGATGTTAAGACAATAATAAAAGTGGTATTACGATTCAATCATACCCTTAGGCTGACAAAAGGGATTTAGTTTCAACTAAAGATAAATTTGGTGGTGGTGGTGGTGGTGGTGGTGGTGGTGGCGGTGGGGTAGTCAGAATGCTTCTGAAAACTTCCAGAGTCCAACAGTTCCTCTAGGTCTTGAACAAATATCATACATAGTCTGCTGTGAGAAACCCATCACATTTGTTTTGGAATAGAAGGGCGAATAGTCAATATCTTCCCCTTTCAGGTGAAGGAAACAGGCACAAAGATGCTCATGGAAGAGTTAGTAGTACTGCTGTGATGGTGCAAACAGCAGAACAGAAGGCAGCATCCTTACCCACCAAGGCGGCCTGTCCCATTGCTGAGCTAGGCAACCCTCTGTGCTACCCCTGGGCTTGAGACAAGGCTGTGTCATGAAAACAAAATGTTCTGTTTCCATTCTCATGGTTTTTATTATCTGGAGATACCAAAAATATGTTTCACTATTTTTTTTTTCAAAGTGGCAATGTGTCCTGAGATCAGCCCTGACTGCATTAGTTCTCTCCCTTGTGCTAATTAGGCCAATGCTCGTATATTGCCTAAATGAGGCCAGATGATCCAGGAAGACTTACAAGTTGAGAAGCATGTTTGTTTGGAAAGACAAATGGATTTTCACATTAACGATCATCTTAGAAGACTGAGGATGATATCTTTCCTTCCTGAGCCTTACCCATTGATAATTTTAACAACTGATATTATATAACATTGTGCTTTTTACAACAGATGTGCGAGATACTTAAGACAAGGTGTAATTACCTGTCTTTCTGCAGATGAAGAAACTGACCATTCACAATGTGCCTGGCACAGGGCTAAGCACCATATATCTATTAATTCATTTACTTTGCAGTCACACATCCAGTGATTTGTTTACCTGGGATTTGAATCCAGGCCTTCTGACCCCATATGCCGTGATTATTCCACACTCTCAGGTGACAGTATAGATGGAGATGATGGAGGTGATGATCTATGGCCTAAAGCAGTACAAGAGTATTCAAGTTCACCTCATCTGAAAGAGCTGGGTTCACTTTTTGAAATTCAGTTTAATTTACAAGATTAAAGTAAGATGCATCTTTGCCTGTTGATTTTATGGATTAACACATAAAAACTATAGCCATATATGAATCTATATAGTTCTGCCTATTTGATGAAATATAAAAGGCATTTCCTTTCCCTGTAACACAGTGATACCTCATTATGTAGGGGAACCACCTCCATGATAATCAATGGCATGTACTAAGAAAAACTTGAGTTTTAAGAGCTTCAAGTCCTTCCCACCTTGAAAATCACATGTTAATCGACCTGTTCAGTGTTGACTGCCTTAGTGCAGTTTCATTAAAAAGACCCATTCTAAAAATCGTATGTTTCTTATATTACTCAGGCCGTTTCCTACAGCTGGAAATCCTGGACCACGTGGCCACTGCCTTCTCATCTTTGCTAAGCGATGTTAACATTCAGCAGAACAAAGCTGAGGAGCAAGATGGAGGGGAAAGGGTGCAAGTATCCTCAGAAAGTGGAACCAAAGAGCATCACAGAAGAATGGGTGAACTTTTCAGGAGAGCTTCAAAGCAGACCAGTAGAAGGAACTGTAGTCCAGAAGCACCGAAGTCATTGGGGATGAGGGAGGAATTTTCCATCGCCTCTGCAGAACCAGGGGAACGTGGAGCAGAGTTACCAGCTGGGACAAACAACCATGACCAAAGTCATTTGTCTCCTTTGGCAGAGCATTGGTCTCTCCAAGCCTGTGATGACTTGATGCCTTGTCATCCTTCCCGAGCTCTTCTGAAAAAGCAGTGGCCTTACTCACCCATGCTAGCCAAGCAGGCTTCTCTTTCCTGTGTGTCTGAAGGGTCATTCAAGGACAGAGTGCGAAAAGAAACCTCAATTCAGACGAACAAACTCAAGAGCATGTCTCATCTTGAGGGCAAAACACCAGACTCCTTTGAAATGGAAGAGGTGAGTGTTGTACCTACGTGGTCAACTTCTAAGAGGAATAACCCTCACCAAGGCATCTTTTGCTTTCCAGCGCTCATTTTAACCTCTTCATCTTTTAACCCCTTGGCAATAGGTCTTATTGTTTCAAACTCATGTTTCATCTAAGACATTTAAGGTCATTCTAGTTGCTTCGGTCAGAACTAAACCAGTATGAAGCTGGCTTTGCTTGCTCCGATCCCTTGTTCATAGCTGAACCTACAGGTTATTTCTGAATTGCTTTTGCTCACTGTTTTGTTATGCCTCTCAGGTGCTTTTACCCACTCTAACTTTCCATGTTTCACCTTCTTTGAGGGGTCAGTTCAGCTACTTCCCACTCAGTGAAACTCCTCCTCTGTATCCTCATAACTTAGGCAGGGAGACCTTGCTATGACAGAGACTGTGTGAGTGTGTGTGTGTATGACATGCTCTGACCCCCTCCCAAAACTAGACTGTGTGTGAGAGGCTATATGTGCATGTAATGCAGAGAGAGCCCTCAAAAAGATAGAAAAGAAACTCACTATTTAAATTTTGTTTACTTAAAAGGTATATTTCAAATGTTACATCCTCATCACACAGACTGGGGGGAAAATATTTGTTTCACTCAATACCAGTGGATGAGTAAACAAAGCAAGCTTGTGTAGGTTGCACCTTAAACAGGACTGAATTCCAGATTTAATAGTCATTTTTCAATTTAAAAGCACAGCTATAAGAAATGAAAAATATGTGTGAAGTTGGCAGATTAACATGGCATTTTAAACATAAGCCAATGTACTTAAATATCTAGCTATCAGAATGTCAACTATGATTGGCCAAATTTTGCCTCCCAATCAATCCATGATGTTTTCTCTAAAGTCCTAAAAAAGGCTGATTTGGGCAATATTTCGCTTAGTTCTCAAAATTATGATTCCAATGAAATTGTGCATAGATTTTTTAATGCAAAAATCAATATATTTTTGTATTTAATTTTGCTTAGTAAAGCAGTCTTTTTTAAATTCCCAAATATATTAAGAGAATTTAATACTTAAGAAACTTCTGCAGTTGTAAATCTCAAATCAAGATAGGGTGCTTCTTTATATCCACAATAAAACATCATTAACCTTCCCTCTCACTTACATACAGGGATACTGTTCTAGAACTCATATGTAAAAATGTTACCCTAGGGCCGTCCGAGTGGCTCAGTTGGTTAAGAGCTTGTGCAAGAGTGTGAGCTCTGAGCAACAGCGGTTCGATGCCCGGCCCGAGCTGAGCTGCTGAGCTGCCAACAGGTGGGAGGATGGCTCAGCTAAAAAAAAAAAATGTTACCCATATTATTAAACAATACCAATTGGCATCTTGATTAGGTAGGAAATGTTTAAAAAGTTATAACCATTTCTTTATTCTTAATTGTTTTAATTGATTAGGTTTGGCACAAGTAGAATAACCCAGGAATACACCTGGTTTCCATTTTAAATTGCTTGGACTTCTTTTTGTTTTTGTTTTTGTTCTTTTATTCAATAGACAAATATATACTTTACATTGTGTTAAGTGGATTTTTGTCCATGATAACAGTCACAGCAAAAATGTTTCTTATTATAGTTGTATATTTACATGGTATACACTGGTTTCAGTTACAAAACCAATAAAAATAATCTTAAGAAATATGTCTAATTACAAGTATAAAGTACTTCTTTGAAGAAAAGGGATAAAAGATTAAAAGGAGGGAACAAACATTTCTTATTATATTGCTGAGCTATATCTTCATGTTCCTCTGTTTATTTCTGGATTAAAGGTTATATGATATAGACTATAGTGTTCAAAATGCTTATGTCCTCTGATTCAGCTTTCGATATTCAGACATTAATCCCAAATAAATAATATGACATATAGAAATAGATTTATATACAAGGGCATTCATCTCACCATTATTTCTAATTGCAAAATTTAGAAAACATTCCAACATGGGAAAATCATTAGGTAAATTAATGTACCTTTAAAACATGGCCTATTATGCAGTCATTACATATGGTGCTCTCAAATAAATTTTATAAAATGGGAAAAAAGTCCCCCATCAAAATTTTGAGTGAAAAAATTTGACTACATAACTACATCCAGAATAAATGTATTTTTTAAAACCTGCAAAGATATGCTCTAAAATATTAACAGTAACTATTTTCCTACCCTTTTTAACTTTTTATGTTGATTAAATTTCTATAATAAGCAATATTATTATTTTTAAAGACATATTTAGTTTTAACAATAATTTTATTCTCATTATTAAAATAGTATTTATTACTTTCTTAACAGAATTTTAAAAATGAATTCTGCTCTATCAATTTGGAAATCAAATTTTCTTTGAACTGTCTAAGCTTTATAGAGCAACTGAGCTAAGAATTTTCTGAGCTGCTCTCCATAAATTTACCAAAAAAGTCATAAATACATTCCCTAGGGAGCTAAAATTAAATATGGGGAATAACATGCTTTCTTCAAATATACTTAGTGCTCTTTGGAAGCAAAAAAATATACAACAACAGCAACAATAATAATAATAATAATAATAATAATAAATTTAGTTAAAATGCCACATGTCCCAGGTGGGGCATCTCTCCCTCCCACCCAGAAGTGATTTTCCCCTTGCCCTGCCCTGTCCTGAGCTCCTCTAGTTCTTTGAATCTTTATCTGAGTGCCTCGTACATGCATCTGACTGCAGCAGGCTGTGAGCTGTGTGAGTTCAGAAATCATGTTTAATCCTCATAACAGTAGCCAGTAGGCACTCATTACATGTTGATTAATGAAGTGAATTTGTTATGAAAGCATTTCTAATGAGATGGATGCATTTTGATGTCTCAGGTCCAGAGCTTTGAAGAAGAGACTGGTAATCCTTTCGACCTGGCTTCAGGAATTATAGGTAAGAATTCATCAAGGTGTGCAGTGTCATCAATGGTCTTTCAGAAAGGGAATGTAAATAGCTGCTACTCAAACTTCTTAATATGTAGAACTCAAGTTATTGCCAGGAGATGCCATATCTACTACTGCTGCTGCTATTACCATTTCTACCTACTACTATTAAAAACCTACTAGCGATGCAAGTGTAAATCTACATTTCAAAATACTGCGGTAATGTTCAATATCACTGGGGCTAATGTGGTATGTGGTCTATCTAACGTTAACTCTGTGTGATCTGACCAGTACAGTGGAATGGATTTCACATAGGACTGGGGCTAACTGGGTGAATACTTTCTTACTTCTCCTGCCAACTGCTTAATGTTGCACAAGTCATTATCATTTTACTGGGTCTCAGTTTTTGTTTTTTTTTTAACCTGTTATAAAGAGATATTTTTTATGTTCTCTGCCAGCACTTACATTCTAAATTAAGTGATTGTATGACCTTTGTATCAAATTCTCAGTGGAAACAAGTTGCCCAGATGTAACTTTCCAAATCACCCCTTAGAATGATCTCGTATTATCCTAGACAACAGAGAAGGGAGTCTTTCTCTACTTCTGGCTCTTACGCCCCCATTCAGTCATCATTGTGATTCAGCATTTCCATAATCCTATAACAGAGCTAAAAGTAGGCAGGAATTAGTGAAGCAAAATAAAGCAGATGAAGCCACTGCATTTCCTGGAAGAAAATATGCAAATTTTAAATTTAATTTAGTGTGGTGTCAAACACATCTTTTTCATTACAAAGTGTATGTATGGGCCTCATTTTGCTAAACGCTGTTGAGAAATTATGCATTAGTAATTATAGGGTCCTGCTGATTACATAAATTGTTATCCTGCTCTTTGAAGTAATTACCACATAACCTGCATTGAGGTTTCTAAGACAAAAATAAGCATCTGTTTTCCATTTAATTGAATGCTTCTCAATGGAGCTGGAGGTCCCCTTGCCAATAGGAGCTGCCTTCCTTAACATTCAATTAAGAGGTCTGCTGATATCGTGTTAGTTACCGCAATCATCCCAAAAAATGATTTGGGAAGTTAGGCAAAAGCACTAATCTACATTTAACCTCAAATTTAAAGAGCAAAGTAAAATGGGTGAAGGTTAGCCTAATGGAGAAAATCGGAATTACAGTTAAAGCAAATGTGGTTTTGTTACTTTCAAAAACAGTGTTGTTAACCCAAGAAAAAGTAGGACTGAAAAAACAAAACAAAAACAAAAAAAAACTCAAGTAAAGCTAGCTCAATTAATGGAGAAAGTGGGAAATTATTACCTTGATATATATGAATGAATTACAAATCTAATCATATATACATATATATGAATGAATTTTTTACTCAAAATTTAAAAGGTGACTTCATTCAAAAGATGAAGGCACAAAGACTGTTTTGACCAATAAGATATCGTGGAAGTAATGCTGTGGTACTTCCAGGGCATAGCCTTGAACCCCCCTGGCTGCTTCCTGGGGCTTGAGATACCTGCTCTTGCAACATTCCCTCTAGAAACCCAGCCCTCCTGTTGTGAAAAGCCCAAACCACATGTGGATGCCACACGCAGGCTCTCTGGTGGACAGCCTTGAATGAGCTCCCGTGTGAATAAGCCATCCTGGATGTCCAGTCCAGCCCAGCCAAACTTTCAGGGGACTCCAGTCAATATGCCATCTGACTTCAACTGCATGAGGAAATCCAAGTGACAGCCACATAACTGAGCTGAGTCAACCCATAGAACCATGAGAGATAATTAATTATGGTTTTAAGCACATAATACACACAAATAGGTAAAGGTATGTGATAAAGTCTTCAATACCTTTAAAACTTAGTTAAAAGACATTTTAAAAACTATATTTCATCTACTCATGCATAGTACTCTGAATATGAGCTGAAGAAAAGTGTATTTAAGCATTTTTCTAAATGAATTTGAGCAAAATTACTTCTTATAAAAGATAGTACACAGGCCATAAATATACCATACTCTCTTCAGCCTTGAAAAATTATCACTGAAATGACAAAGGAACATAAATATAAGGAGGAAATATATAACAGTGCTATTAAAAAGGGAGGCAGGGAACTCAATCATCCATATTCCAGAAGCCTTGAGGAATTTGTGTGAAATAGCAGGGGCACCAAAAAAATGTATATAAGTGGACACGTTGGTCAACATTGCTCAAGCAGTAGTTTGCTGTAATCAGAAGTGTCTGGACGCTGATGGTAACCATTTTGAGCACCTCTTGTAATTGCAGAAGTCAAACGTGACTTGTATTCATACTTTGTTAGCAGTATATACTGAGTATTATAATTTTAATACAGTTTTCCTTTCTTAAAATGTGTTTACATTGTTTTGGCACCCTCTGCATATTGTAGGTGAAGTTGCAGACAGTTCTGTAGGAAGCGCTCACCTAAGAATTAAAGAGACAAGTCCACTTCAGCACTGTGTTAACAAACTAAGGGCATAATTTCTAAAAGAATCTCATTTAACTCAAATTGGACAAGACGTGCCTTTCCTGTCACCTCATAAAAGTCAGCGAACACAGTAAAATTATCTCAAGATCTAGCAGTTCACAATCAGAGGCTATTCAGGAGAAATGCTTACCAGTAAAATTATGGCTACAAAGAATCCTTAGAAATCCTCAGAAATGAATATTCTCAGCGAGGGATGTGAAGATGCTGCTTCAGTGTAAGAGAATAACTTCCAATGAGTAAACACTGCTTTCATATGAAATACACAATGTCTGAGTTTGCTTCTGATAATGGCGAAGTAACCTCTTAACAGGCCAACCCTCCCACAGGTAACAATAAACTCTGGATAAAGTACTTTAAAAATTCCTACCTAAAGGCACTGGAGAGTGACCCAAGGTAGGCAGATATTGGAGAAAGCTTCAACACTTGAAAACAAGGAATGGCACTGGATGTGTTTTCTGTTTTTTAAAGCCTGAGAGCAGGCTCTAATTGACACCATTCTAAAAAATGTATAGAAATTAGCAACCTGATTAGCTAGAAGAATCAGAAGACAGTCTGGGGCCATGACACCAGATGGAAAGTGAGGAGAAAAAACTTAGAAAGGAGAGGGAGCCAGAGAGGGAATTTCTGAGTCTAAGTCTGAAACCTACCAAATCTCTAGCCAATTCTTGAACTAAACATGCATGGGGATTATATTCCCTATTTTATATTTCATATCTAGTAGCTTAGGGGAAGGGCATTATCAGTTTGTGAAGGGTGTAAATGTCTAAGTACTGTGTTGCTTTGTACACCTGAAACTAATTTTAAAAAAAAAAAGGCATGGGGAAGACTGCGAGAATCTCTGCTAAGGCTAAAAGAAATGAACTGATATTTCCAATTGGAGTTTGATTCTAGCCAGTTTTCCTGCCTGCTAAAACAACATACTATTCACAATGTCCAGGTACATTTAAAAAAACATTACTGGACTTACGAAGAAAGAAGAAAATATAAACTACAGACAAGAAAAAGGCAATTAATGGAGACAAACCATGAGAAAACTCAGATGTTGGAATCAGCATATAAGTATCTTAAAGACCTTATTATAATTGTGATGAAGGATGTAATGTAAACCTTGCTCACAATGAACAAACAATAGAGAAATCTTAAGAACAAAATAGAAATTATAATAAAAATGAAATGGAAAATCTATAAGTGAAAACTATAACTTCCAAAACACAAACTTTGTTGGATGGGTCTAACAGCAGATATAAAATGATAAAAGAAATACTGATGAACTTTAATACATATCAGTAGAAATTATCCAAAAATCTGAAGAACAGGAGAAAAAGACATTAAAATTATATTTAAAAAGTTATCTGAATTTCAGGAGCCTGTGAGACAATATAAAAACATCAAGTATGCATGCAATTGTAGTCCTAAAAAGAAAGGCTAGAAAGAATTGGGCAGAAAAAAAATTTCTTGAAGATGTAATGGTGGAAAATTTCCCAAATTCACTCAACATTCACATATTCAAAAAGCTTGGCAATTCCCAAGTAGGATACACAGAAAAGTATACTTAAATGATGTTATGGTTAGATTAATAAAAATCAAAGATAAAGAGAAAATATTCAAAGCGGGTACAGAAAAATTAAATATTGCATGCAAGGGAATAAAAACGTGAATGACTGGATTTCTCATTAGAAGCAATGGAGACCAGAAGATAGCAACTAACAGCCAGATTCTATATGCAGCAAAATACCCTTCAAGAGTGAACATAAAATATAGACATGTTTAGGTAAAAGAAGACAAGCTAACATTACCAGTATGCTTGCAGTGCAAGCAATGCTAAAGGAAGTTCTTTGAACTAAATATGGACAGTGAATTGTGGTTTTATACCATATGTCAATGTAATACATATGACAATTATAGAATGGAGTATGGGAGGTTGGTAAATGGACCAATATAGCCTCCAGGTTTCTACATTTTACATGAAGTGGTAAAATATTAAATTTAAGTAGACTGTGAAAAATCAAGGATCTAAAGCAACTCCTAACAAAACTACAGCAGTATAGCAAAATGCTGAAAGAAAAATTTAAATATAATTAAAAAAATACAATGAAGACAGTAATTGACAGGCTGAATACTGCAGGAAAATAACTGGATTATAAAAGTATGAGACATGTGAGAAATTATTTAAGAATTGAGTGGAAAAAGAAAAGAATATAATAAGCAAAACGTCAAGGGAGGCAGATTCAAGGAATATTATATAGATGTAACAGGTGGTTAGAATCAGACTCTTTGCATCTTAGTTTTGACTGAGGTTCAAAAAAGATCAATATCAGATACAAAGTCAGTGTGTGACAAGCCAATATATGCATCTTTTGTAAGGAAACTGTAGGACCTAGTTCCACAAGTCTTGAACCTTTCAGCCCGTTGTGTATATAAAGAAAGGACACATTGTAGGGAGAGAGAAAAGATTGAAAAAGATATTTCATTAGCGAACACAATTTCATTAATGCCCATCTGTGTTCC